CACACACACACACACACACACTAAATTATATGTATAGTTACTGATTAATGTATAATTACATTTTTATTTTTGTGTTAATTTTTATTGAAATGTGACCTGAAGCGGTTCATGACATTCCCGGTTCACGTTTCTGAATCTTCCAGGAATCAACAGAAACGTATGTTTTTAATGTATTTATTTCTCTCCCAGGATTCAAACGGGGAGCCGATCCGGGGATGCCTGAACCCACAGTCTTCAGGTGAGTTTTGAGAAGATCACAGTGTTTTAGCACAGAAAGCTGCTGGAGATGAGCATGGGATGATCTGTTTTGTCTGTCAGTTTGCTTTGGGGATGAAGACGCTCCTGACGGAGACTACAGCCTCCATGAAGACTCGTCGCTCGCTCGGATCTGAACTCAGTGCTGGGATGTAAATACTTCACTGTCAACACTTTTGTGTTATTTTAAGACTTTTGCTTCCTCTTTCTGGAACATTGCATTGAGAAAAAAACAATGTTTTCTTAGTTTTTTTTTATTGAATCTACGAAGATCATTGTAAGCAATCAGCATGTTCTCACGTTCTGTTTGAAACAAGTTCATAAATACATTCATAGGCACTGATTTTCAGTGTCGTGCAAATGAGAAGTAAATAGAAAATACTGGCACATAAATATTGCATTTATAAATATCAATGTTGCACAACATTCAATAAGTTAAAAGTACAGACTCATAAATATTAAATTATTCTGCCCTGAATGAAATATCTGCGATGGTCAATAAATAAAAATAATAGTTGAATAAACTAGTTCTTGTCGGAGCTCCAGTCTGCGGGTCTCTTCATGTCTTTTGCTCGGTGTGCAGTTTTGCGTTTGCTCATGTAATGGACGGCTCTGCACGTGTCGATCATCATGCTGGTGAAGTTGAACAGGATCGAATGCGTCGTAGTCTTGCGCGTCCACGCGGATCTGACCGATAGAGGAGCGCTGGAGATCTGATCCACCCCTCCGTCTGCTATCTGCAGCTGCAGGACCAAACAAACACCAGATGTGCTCATATGTGACACTGCTCATGAACAACTGATAATGAGCTCCGATCGGCAGGTTTTGTTGCTCTGAATGCTGAGAAGGCTTTATTTGGCCTGTTTGATGGCAGCCTATCACTAGTCGGTAAGCCTGGGTTTCCATGACTGGGATACTCCATAATCGACATGGTTTTATTTTTAAGTAATAGGTAACCATCTATTTATCAGTGAATGAATGAGGTTTGTTTTGACTAAGCTTCAACATGCAAAAAAAAAAAAATGTGTTAATGCAATAGCTAACATCAAAATATAAAAAATACAGTAATGTATAAGTCATCTAATAATAATAATGTAATTTAATAATATAAATATATTATATATGTGAGCCTGAAGCACAAAACCAGTCATAAGGGTAAATTTTTTGAAATATTAAATCAGATATGACACTATTTGGCCGAGATGCAACTATTTGAAAATCTGGAATCTGAGGGTGCAAAAAAATCTAAATATTGAGAAAATCATCTTTAAAGTTGTCCAAATGAAGTTCTTAGCAATGCATATTACTAATCAAAAATTAAGTTTAACATGATCTTTACTTAATATCCTAATGATTTTTGGCATAAAAAAAAAATCAATAATTTTGACCCATACAATGTATTGTTGTCTATTGCTACAAATATACCCCAGCGACTTAACACTGCTTTTGTGCTCCAGGGTCACCTCTGAAATATAAAATTACTAATAATTATATAATTTAATAATAGAAAATGTATAACAATGAAAAATATAATTATTAATTAGTATTACACCGTATTAGTCTTTGTTAATGTTGTTACAAAAAGCAAAATTATTTGTTTGTATTAGTTCATAATGCAATAGAAAATATTAACATACAACTTTCGATTTAAATATATATATTAATAAATGCTGCTAATTTGTAAATTAACACAACCTTTAGTTATTGTAAAACATTGCCTAAAATTTTAATGTTTATGCTCTTAAAAGAAATGCATTAAACTGCAACTTATTTAAAGATGACTGTATTTGATGTTTTATAAATATATATATATATATATATATATGTTGTTTTAATGTTTTATAAAAATGTAATCAATATAATCATAATTTAATCTCTTTTATTTGTATTAGTTATTTTCATATGTTTTATATTAATATAGCTACTTATATCTTTATTTTATTTTAATATTTTAATTCTAAACTGTTAGCAGATATTTTAATGTTTATGCTCTTGAAATGAAATTCCTCAAATAGGCAGGTGCATATAAATAAACAAAGAAAAGCAAATGCATTTTTTTTTTGGCAAAAATTGGCAAAGTTTGTGCTCTTAAACCTACGCTTTTATCAGTCAGTTTACAGATTGGTGGCTTTGTGAGGTCAGCTGGAGCGCCGTGGAGCCGTTGAGGTGTGTTTACCTGGCTGTTAATGGCCTCCAGCAGGCGCTTGGTCCCGCGTTTGATGTCCTTCACCAGGCTGGAGGTCAGGTTTTCGTTCTCGATCAAGCTCCAGTTCTCTTTATACCAGCTCAGGACGCTGTAAATGCGGCTCAGACACAAATCCTGAAACATTCGTGAGGTATGAGCATTTAGCAACACTTCAGTATTTGATGAAATCAAATGAAAACGTTCATCGCATCATGTGCTGGATAAAAGCTCTTGTTCAGCACTAAACTGCGTTACGTTTCTGTAACGGTAACAACCCGATATCAAACGTACAGTATCTTATTTTGTGAGATGAAGGGTTTGTATGAATTGGTTCGATGTGATTCGTAAGGAACCGTCGTTAGCGGGGCGTCAGCATGAAAAAATAGTGTTTTTGAACCATACTATAGTAAAGTACTTGTGGTAATTCTGTAGTTGCTGTGGTAATATAACAACTAGGGCTGTCAAAAAAAATAATATATAAAAATATAAATTACCTGTTAATATAGCTAAATAATATAAATAAAAACATATATAAAAAAAACTAATAACAATGTGATTTAATTTAAATATATAAAATATGAAATATATAAATAAAAAATGAAATGTATAATGCAATTTTACATCATTAAACTAAAATATAGTTTGTTCATATTAGTTCATAATGCATTAGAAAATGTTAAAAAGTATTTACAGAGACGATAAAAAAGTTTCAAAATTTGAATGTTATTGTTTTCAAATGTAAAATCAGCTTAGCAGAAGCATTCTCCTGATTAAACCGCGAGCCATAAATAAACCAGAGTCGTCTGAGAGGAAGCGTGTTCTTACTGCGCTGAAGTTTCTGGACAGACAGCCGTCAGAGGGTCTGAGGAGAGGAGTTGTGATCCTCACGCCTTCATACGCCGTCATGTTCACCGTCTCTCTGAAGTCCCTCTCAAACTGCAGACGGAGGAGCTCAAAGTTAGTTTGAGTAACACGAAGCATCTTTGCATTAGTGTGTGTAGAGACGCACCTGCTGGTCTCGCAGCATCTTGACGTCTCTGTGCAGATCTCTGGCCATCAGATGCCATTTCTGCCGCTCGCTCAGAGGACTCTTTCCCTCCACGTCCTGAACCTCGTCTCCAGATGTTTCGGAGAGTTCGGCCAGACCGCTGTAGGCAGGCACCGCATCCACCAGACTGAGGAACGCTGCCAGTACAGCAGACAGGAAGAGCGCTGCGTCTGCAGAGAAAGTGAGAGAGAGAGAGAGAGAAAGTGAAGAGCTGCGTCTGCTCACGAGATCCGTCCGATCGCTCAAACGCTGCACTCACTCTGAGCTGACGGCATCCTGATTGAGCAAGCTTGTGTGTGATGTCTTCAAGAAACCTCGGGAGACTTCTGAACAGCGCTTCTCAAGTGGTTTTATACACACACTTGAGGAGTTTCCACATCTCTCAACCCGCCTTTCAAACATTTTTCATCATTTAGGAAAACCGCCCTGATTCTGATTTTCATATAAGAATTTTTCTTTACTTTTCCCCCTCAAAACCCAGGATGCCACAAGTTGATTTAATGTTTTGGTACTCTTATTGTTTGACTGATTTAATTTATTTTTCTGAAAGTTTATACACACACACACACACACACATATATATATATATATTGGTCAAAGACGAAAAAGGGTTTAAGCATAAAACAATAAGTGTAATACTGCTTTAAATTGTTGTTGTTTCCCCCCCAAAAAAATTTAAAACAATTGTTTAATTTAATTGCAATTTTGTTTTAGTTTTTCTGAAAAAAGTCATACATTTTCCCCTGATTTACAGAAGAGACCCACTAAAATGCCATTCAGTGAAACGATCTTCTCCGGCATATTTACAACAAAAATCAATATATGACATATCATTTAAAACACAATAAAATTTAATATGCTCCCTTATTCTTTTATATATTTTAATATTTACACGTCAGAATAAGCATGTTGTTTGAATATTTACTTAAATATTGTGTTCCACTGAATGACGATGTAACATTATTTCAACCAAATTTTGACATTTTATTCTCCAAAAACTTATTTGAAACCTTAAAAGTAGACACTTTACTTACATTTAATGTGCTTTCTATGGACATATAATCACTTTTGTACATTTCTTTTGATGATCATAATGTCTTCGACCCATATATATATATATATATATATATATGAAGAGTTCATTTGCAAAAACCGATAATTCTGTTTTTAAAATGTTCAAAAATCCAGTTTTTTTTAAATCCTGCATTCCAATTAATATCAATCAAACTGCAGTTGGGTTGTTTTGATTAAATAATAATAACAACAACAAAAAAATACAACTAACTTAACACAATAAAAACATAACAGAATAAAAAACTGATTTATGAAAAAAAATGATTTATGAAAGTTTATAAAAAACGTTTTTGCTATATATATATACACATACATACACACGCTCACAGTGGAGATCAAAATTAGAGAATCTAAATCTTTAGAATCAATCTATTTTCTGAAATATTGTTCATCTTCATCGCTCAAAACTTTGAAGGAATATTAGCTGTAGGGTATACCACTGTCACATGTTTGACAAAATAACCAAGGCATTGCAACAAAAACCTTTATTTAGTGGAAACACAGTAATCAAAATGAGAGAACAGTAGCCACTGTAGCACAGAAGAAGATTACAGCTCAAATCCTGGAGGGGTACATGATGATCCGGTAAATGGTTCTTTCAGGTGCAATATTTAGATGCGAAGAGATGATGACTGCAAGTGTTTCTTTGGAGGTAACAAGAACACAATGACTGGAAGCGCTTCTTCCCTCCTTCTATAGCAATCAATCTGCTCTTACAATCTAATGAGTGTGATAGTGATTAACCTGACTAGTACTCATTCACACTTTCACATGTGCTGCTGATATGATTAGTCCATTAATGTTAGCTGGTCATTTTGTGTCAGGATCAAAAAACTGTGAAATTAGTTTTTTGTGAAAAGGTAATTTTTTGGCCAATTATTTAAAATGCATCTGATCACTCTACACAATAATCTAGAAACAATGTGAAT